AGACTATAATTTTTTGAGTAAATTATGTTTTTGTCTATGTGGTTGGTTAAAAATTGCAATATTGTATCCCTATAGTTTAAAAATTATGTTTTTCATCACCATGATTTGTTATATATTTGCTATTTTATTTTTATGATTTATAATTTATAGCTATTTTGGTCCATATGGTTTACAATGTTGTTTTAGTCCCTTGTACTCAAATGTATAAATTAATCCAATGATGAAAATAGCAATAAATTGTAAAACATAGAAACGAAAATCATAATTTATAAACCATATAGAAATGAAAATAAAAATTGTTAACAAACCAAAGGGATGAAAATTGTAATTTATAAATCATAGGAATGAAAATAGACATTATTAACAAACCATAGGGACTAAAATCGTAATTTACTCTAAATTTTTTCTAACAGATTTGATTTTGACCAACTTTTGTTGAATATCTTCCTTAACGAAATCGTTGACTTTGATGTCAAGGCCGTCTTTGTTACTTTAGATGTAATGGAACCATACAAAAGCCAACACGACATATAGACCTCCACATGGTCGATCATATGGACCATATTAATTTACACTTTTACCCTTGTATTTACATAATTGTTTTAGACATAAATGACTTTAGGTTGACCCGTACGAATTAAAAGTACACCAATAATACATGGTCGATCATATGGACCATATTAATTTACACTTTTACCCTTGTATTTACATAATTGTTTTAGACATAAATGACTTTAGGTTGACCCGTACGAATTAAAAGTACACCAATAATACACAAACGTCAAATATTTTCATGTGAATATAATGAGACTAATTTAAATATCCAATTATTTTATACGTCATCAAATATTTGTAATACATAAACGTCAAATATTTGGGAGAGCGAAGACGGGCACAAGGGTTAAACACCAAAAAAGTTGATTGAAATTAAATATCCAATTATTTTATACATCATCGAATAACAGATTTATAAATGGATCTTTAATAGATTTTTTTAAAATAGAGAATTAGATCTCAAAATCGCCAAAAAAGAATGCATTCATCTCTCATATATTCTCTATTTTAAAGATAACGCTGTTAATTATATTATAAAAATATTTTATACATATAATAAAATATTAATTCTCTTTCATAAACATTTAACATCAATGTTTTTGTTAGTGGGAATATGAATAAAAAAAATTGTTTTTCTCTCATTGTAATCGTTTTCAGGAAGTTCTTCAAATTCGAAGAATTTCATATTCCCTTTGATGCTTTCTCCATTTGGAGAAAGTTTTGAAGCATCTGTTGGAGCAAAATTTTGATCAAAATATTAATTTTAGATAATCAGTTGAAAATGCTCTAATATTACGTTAGAAGACCTGGGATCACGTGAGAGAAAAGATTTTAAGTGAGAAGTGGTAAAAGTATCCTTATATTATGTAAAGATTAGGTTATATTTTGTGACGGTGATGAAGCTTACAAACTAGAATGAATATTTTCATCAGTTTTTTGAATGCGGAAATCTGCATATGTTTTCACATATATCATTTGAAGGTTATATTATCTTATTTGAATGTTATATTTTTACACTTCTCCCAAAAATAGGCATTTCTTACGAGAACCTAACACACACGTTAAAATTACTGAAACCACATTGGCATTTGTAGGTCAAGTTATTGGGTCCCAAAATTATTTCCCAGGTGTAACAGCTCATTTATGATAAGGAACTATACGGACATCATTAAATAAAAGCTTAGTCAATAAGTTTCAAGATTTAATGAAACTTTCTTGTAAGTACATTTTAGGATTTCTAAAGTTTCAGTGGATGTTGAATCTCAAAAAGTAACCAATGATGTCAATTTATAATAAATGTTACTAATCAATACGATCGATCAGTGTACTAACGGTTAAACCAGATGTTAAATATACTTACTAAACAGTGATATAATTATTAAGGTATATATACATAACTGGTGTAAATTTAGAATCAACTAACCATTACTAAAAGAGATGTTTGGCTCGAAATTGAAAATACATGGTATTTGGTATAATTTGCATTGTGTATCAAAATATAGATAAAAACGAGTTGATCGTATTTATAACAAAAAATTTATATTAAGAAATAATAGTTTAAAAGAAATCATTAATAGTTAAAAAAATTTATCTAATTAAAAAACTTAAGGTGATTAATTGTTTTGTTTACAAATGTGATGTAAAATATGTAATTATTTACAAAGAATCTCATATCGTTACATGATTTTGGGCAACAAAACTTGTGACTCGTGATATTCTTGAAAATATGTTTTCTTAACCACGGCATAAATTTTGTTGTTTTTCCAAAATAGAAAAACAGATCACCATCTTAAGCATGAAAACATGGTTATGTTGCAAAAAATCTCATAGATACATAGTCATAAGCATGTATGTTATTCTTGAAAGAATATTGATAAAAGAGTAGGTGGATTTATGAAACCTTTGATTAGGGATCGTATTACATCCCATACAGTTGACGAAGAGATTCAAAGTTATGTATCGACAAGCTATATGTGTTAGTTGTTGGTTGGTCATACATCGCATTCATGTGTTGCATCAAATGTACCACTAAGTAAGTACGCGAAATATCTATATTGAAATTTTGTAATCATCCAATAAATATATTTGCTTAAAACTGTATTTGTATCACGGAACAAAATACATGACAAGATTAGAGCTCTTGACAGTGGTCATGGAGTTGTATAGTTTGTCAACTACAAAATCGTTGTAACATGGGTATTTAATTTTTATTTTTGTTTGTTTACGTGATGTTGAAATGTTGGTTTCATCTCTTGATAAGCCAGTAACCATATAGCTTTAGGAACTGGTCAAATATAGGAGTTATGGCTATTTTTATGCCACTAGCTGTTAGTGCCTATCTAATAGAGATATGACCTTTTTTAGGAACTATTATTTCCCTTCTTCTATATATTTCCTTATGAATGCATTAATGAAAGCAAGTTGATTCTAATTAAAAAAACATGTGGTTTAGTTCTCGCCCTAAGTAGAATAATATCTTTTGTTTAAGCTTTAACTGGGACTTATTAATTGGTATCAGAACTTGTCTTCCTCATCCCAACCAACAAGGAGATAATTGAGAATATGGAACTGGGTTTGAGAAGCCTTCAGGATGCAGTGCAACACATGGAGATGGGTATAGTTGAAAAGCTCTAGCAGTTGGAAGCTATAGTAAGCAAGCTTCCTGATTTGCTGCGGGTCAACAAACCACCACCAAAGTGGAACAATGACGAGATCGAAAAGCCTTGTTCTTAGCCAAAACAAAGAAGTTGGATTTCCACTGCTTTTCAGGAGACGATCCTACAAAGTGGATTACGAAGGCCAAACAGTTCTTCGAGTTTCAACAAGTTCAAGAGGATCGTAAGGTACATCTAGCTTCTTATCACCTGGAGGGTGAGGCTAACACTAGTGGCAGTGGCTGAAAGAAGCTTACAAAGAGGATGCCATCGAAGTCACTTGGGAAACCTTTCAAGAGGAATTGTAGGCACAATTTGGCCCTACAGAAGGGGAAAACTTCGATGAAGCTCTAGCCAAAATCAGACAGGAAGGCTCATTGCGTAACTACCAGAAAGAATTTGAAATACTAGGAAATAAAGTCAGGAGTTAGACTAAAAAGACTCTTATTGGGACATCTATGGAGGCCTTAAACCATAAATAACAGATCCCATCCGCTTGTTTAGACCAAAATCCCTTAAGAGACACCATTGGTTTGTCCCAAGTGCAAGATAAACAACTTGCACGTCAACAACAAGTCTCTACACCATCTACTTGTTTGACTCTTGTTGCTCCATTGCCAATGCAACCCAAATCGGCTTATCTCATAAAGAGGGTCACGTGGGATGAGATGCAATAACGACGAGCTTTGGGCCTTTGTTTCAATTGCAATGACACATTCATCCCTGGTGATAAATGCCAAGGATCACAACTTATGGTACTCGAAATGGACAAGACTCGCAGGGGTACTGACCAGGTGACTGATGAGGAAAAAGCTGAGGAACCTTAAGGAAAAAGTTCTTCCCTAATAGGAGGGTAATGATAAGCCAGTAACCGTATAGCTTTAGCAACTAGTCAAATATAGAAGTTATGGCTATTTTTCTGCCACTAGCTGTTAGTGCCTATCTAATACAAATATGGCCTCTTTTTTTAGGAATTGTTGTTTCCTTCTTCTAAAAATTTCCTTATGAATGCATTAATAAAAGCAAGTTGATTCTAATTAAAAAAACTTGTGGTTTAGTTCTCTCCCTAACAGAACACTATCTTTTCTTTAAGCATTGATCGGGACCTATCTCTTGTAGGAGTAGCACATCATTTAGGTCTCAGTTTCGAGTCTCAAAATGAGGTGTTACACAAAGTTTGTTCCTAAGCCCAAAATTATATATGAATTTGAAAGTTAATTGCCTAAAATAGGAATTGATTCAAAATTGATTTCATTTTGATGTAATTTAAGTTAATTATATTTATAATATAATTTTTTTTTTGTAAATAAAAGAAGCAATTATGTACATTTCATACACTACAAGAGGAAGGAGTTTTAGAGAAGAAATATTCAGAGAAGTTTTTAGAAGTGTATCTAAAGCTACATTATAGAGAATGATTTAAATGACAAAAATGAGAAATGTAACTAAAGGTTGGACGACATTTAAAGAAGAATTTATAGGCTAACTATACGTTGTTAGAAATGTTGCTAAGAGTTTTAGATAAGTTTTTTATAAAAAAAAATGTCTCTAAAGAGTTGCATCAATTTTTAGGAACACTTTTTTAAACTTCTCTAAAGATTAAGAAAAAGTTTTAAAAAAAATTAAAATTAAATAAAGGTATTTAGTAATCCTTTAAATATTTATCTAAAAGATTTATATTAAAAATAAATCAAAAATAAATAAATAATATATGATCTATATAGATTTATATTAAATAAAAATTCAAAATTAATCACCTGCGTTTTCTTCTCGTCGCTCAATCATCAGAAGCCCTAAATCGGTCGCTCAATCACCAGAAGCCCCAATAATGTTTAATCACCTGCGTTTTCTTCAATTGTGATCATCACCATCGCTCGTCTATCATCGAATCTTATTGATCTTCTTTTCTCTTCTCTGAATTGATTGCTCGAACAACAGGTACGCAATCTCATTGATTTCTATTTAGTGATTCTTCAAAAGTATATCGATTGCTCGAACAGGTACTTGAAATTCCTATTTGTTTCAACAGATTCATCATTAGCAGAATGTCAATTTGTTTAGTTCAATGTACATATTTCAAACCTGATTTTTTCAACAGATTCATCATTTTCTATACATATTTGCATAAGAAATCTCACTTACGCCTGTTAGAATGTCAATAGAAGTCACTACGTTGAATTCTCCTTCCCTAATGTTGTCTCTGTCATTGTGTTCAGCCAGGATTTCCAATTTTTTTGAAATTTGTTTGTAAAACCACGTTGATGGTCACCAGATACTCTATTTCTTTGCATTACGACTCTAATGCGGATTACTTGATTTCTTTTCCGGTTTTCTGGAGGGAGTTAGTTAAAATAATTACTTGCATAGGCTTTCTCCCAACCCAACTTCACTGACCATTATTGTGTGCAAGTAGTTTTCAATTGATATTAACCTGTGTCTTTGAATCTTTGAAAAATATGTTTCTTCTGGTCCGTGTGCAGAATATTGATATGTATCAATTGGTAAACTATTTACTGTTTGTAAAATATAATAAGTAACTGAATACTTGTGTTCATCTCTAATTGAACTGACATCAAATATCTTTATAATGTTTATCTCACAAGGACCAAAAGTTGGATAGCTGATATTGTTTTATGAGACAGACGTAGTTAATATTCTTGCATCTCAATAGCGTTGCCTTCTCTTCCATTTTAGGAGTCATCAAACATCGTTTATGTAGAGAAATGGATTCTATGGATTTTGATTGATTACAATCTGGTCGCTTAGGGAAGTCTTTGATTGGCTGGCCATTAATTTATGCAATGGCTACATCAGATCCTTTTCTTGCTGCTAGTTTCAGCTTATGTTGAAATGGAGTTTTATTTTTCTGAATTTCTTTCACCATTTCCAGTTTGTAATCGTCAAATGATAGTGATCTTTTATTTATGCATGCCATTTAGCTGTGTGTTACAAAGTTCAGTTTCCAAGAATTTCTTGTGGTGCATATTCTCATTGTGCCATCCCAAAGGCGTGTTAAGTTTTTCATGGATCATAATATCTACCTGGTTTTGTGCTACACAGTGAAGCATGCATGAGGTGGGGGTCTAAATGAGTGTTTAAACAGCTTGGTGATGTGACCAATGGAGATGATAAAAGATTGGATACGATTAGGTTATGGGTGTCAATATGTGATGGGTTTTAGGGTCTTATGTCTAGTTAGGTATTACTAATTTATCATTATTAGGTAGCCTAATTACTTGTTATTTAGATGTTAGTGCCACATTTTACTTTACAAGGAAGAATATTCTTTGCTTGGGAATTGCTTTTGGGAATATATACTCTGTTAAACTATACTTTCTATCTTATACACTGCTTACAGATTCTGTGTAACATGCCATAGTTGTGAATAGGCTCAACAAAGAGCATTGGTTGAACCTTGATTTCAGTCATCTCTAATCACTATGTTAAGACAATATAATATTTGTTCAGATGTCTTGTGATGCATTCAGCAATTCTTGTGTAAATGCAATTTGCATTCCATTAGTTCATTTCTTCTTTGGCTGGTCATCGAGAGAAAAAATTTTCATGCCCTGATTTTTTTTTCTTTCGTTCGAGTGTCGTGACGTCATTCTTAATAACTTATGCCATGAACAAAATACGAACTTAAAAATTCAAACATACATAATATGTTAAACATAATTCGTTACATAATTGCGGAAGCGTAAAATACTTTAAAGTAATCAATGCTAATTAAAATATCTAATCAAGCATGATTTAAAACATAGTCCCTTCTTTCTTCATTTGACTCGTCTACTGACAAATGACACCTGAGATATATACATGTATAGTATAAGCTAAAAGCTTAGTGAATACAATAAGGTTTCATGATCACATGCACATATAAACAATGTTTTAGTGTATTTTAGTTATTATCTTGCAAATGAGGCCTCAGCTCGTCACTTTTCTTTGTGTATGTGGCGTATTCTATGGACGAGGACTTCAAGACCTCGGAATTGCAAGCGACGGTGGACGAATCTTGTTGAATCATACTAGTTGCATATCATTTATTTGCAATACTCACTCATTAATGCAAATCTCATTGTGACATGCAACATACATCTCATGCAAGTGACAATATAAATCACATATGCATCATCGTCATTTTTCACATTATACACATACTTGAATATCATATTGATAATATCAAGTCATCATAATTTTTCTCATCAACATCATCTATCATATCATACATATACTTAAATATCATGTGCATTAATACATTCAAGTTATCATCATAAGCATATAACCACATCATGCAAATATCATGGATAAAATACTTTGTAATAATCATATATATATCCCATAAAAATCGCATAATGTACTCACCTTGAATCATTAACGTTCGATAGGTCGTTCTATCAAAAACCGCAACCTGCATGATAATTCATATCATTCCTAAGCACCTTGGGTAATCGAAACTAAATTGATCGTTATTCTCCAACAATCTTAACACGACTAGTCAATTTTTATTGATCAACATTCGATACCATCATATCTCAAGTTCGTTCAAATATTTTCTAGAAATATTATTAATAAGATGACGTCGTTATAATATTGATTGTTGCTCGTTCATTTTATAAAAATATGCAATACACTTCACATTTTCTTGAACAATAAGTATTTTACCAAAATAACTAAACTAAATAGTTTGCAAAGTAAATAATGTTTTGTGGTCAAAACGTCTCTTTTAAAATTTGTAAGTGAATAACGGTGACAACATGTCACACCCATATAAATAATGGTCAAGCCATAACTTTAAAGTTCAACATGATTAATATTCGAAATAATGTTTAGAATACCAATTTTTCAAGTCTAGGGGTATTTCGGTAATTTTAAGAAGCCGAATACCAAAGGTATAACTTTAACCAATTCCCTAATTTAGAACATTCTTGTTATATTTCATAAGTCGAATATTAAAGCTGTGCTTAAAAGTCCAATCCCAAAGCATAGGGGCATTTTGATAATTTTATTAAGCAATACTCAAAGTATTGTTAAAATATTGATTTCCTAATTGTGAGGTTATTTTGGTAATTTCATAAGGATAACAATCAAAATAAAGCTTAGATACCAATTCCCAATACTTAAGGTCATTTCAGTAATTTACAAGGCAAATACGTAAAGTATCGCTAAAATACCGATTTCCATATTGTAGGGTCATTTTGGTAATTTCATAAGAATTTTATTCAAAATAGAACTTAGATACCAATCCCAAAACATAGGGTCATTTCGGTAATTTTATAAAGCAGATACGTAAAGTATCGCTAAAATACCGATTTCCATATTGTAGGGTCATTTTGGTAATTTCATAAGGATTAAATTTAAAATAACACTTAGATACTAATTCCCAAGACATTGGGTCATTTCAGTAATTTATAAAGCAAATACGTAAAGTATTGCTAAAATACTGATTTCCAAATATACGGTCGTTTTGGTAATTTTATAAAAATAATAATATAAAAATGAAGCTCATAGACCAATCCCCAAGATATATGGTTATTTCGGTAAATTTTGGAAGCAAATACGCAAACTATTGCTAAAATACCGATTTCTCACTTATAGGGTCATTTTGGTAACTAAATGAGATAAACAATCGAAACTTGGTCAAAGTTTACGTTTTACAAACCCCAAATAAACTTGATAAAAGTCTCATAAACTTATTATGCAGAAAATTGTTTTTGGAAATTCAGGGGATGAAATGCTAATTTCTAAAACTTTAATGCTTAGTGTATATTAATAATATCAGTGCATAATAAATAACAAAACCAATATCTAGCCTACTGGTTAACGCTTGATGCTTCTTGGTTGAGGTTGTGGGATTGAAACCTGCCCTCAGCATGTGCCCTTATCCCATTTTTTTAAAAGGTAAACATACGTGGGTCTTGGTCTGGTCGACCCGGTCCGTGACCCAGGCCAAAACAGTAGCCATGGCTGCACGTTTTTTAGCTTTTTGAGCTTGAAAATGACTCGTTTCTTGACCTTTTTTCTTCTTTCTTTTTGCACCAAACTCTTGGTAATTTTTTACCAACACTTTGACATAAAGTACACGAATTTTCATCAAGAAATGAGTTTCATTTATTTATTTAAAGTTTGTTTTTAAAACTAAAATTTCAACAATTTCAAAACATAAAAATCGAACCACGTAAACACAAATATGAGACATGAGGCTATTAGGATTTGATAGAGTACTTGAAAACGAAGCTATAGACATAAAAATCAAGAGATTTGGTTAAGAATCTCATCCAAAATCGGTGAAAAACCGAGATTTTTGATTCCAAACTTCAAGCTCAAATTTCTATGTCAAAACTCAACGATTTTTCTAGCTATTTGAACAAAAATGATCCTAAGCCGGTGCTCTATATTTATATGCAAAAGTTTTGGCTTTTTAGTTGACGAAATCGGACCAAATCGCGAGTTTTTGGCTGAGGGGTCGTTTTCTTTAAATAGATATGTACTGTTGGCAAAACAGGTCCCTCATCTTTGAAAAAGATGACATTCGGCCCCCTCAAGTTTCTGACATTTACAACTATACCTCTCTTGACGTGATATATTATATTTTTGGTCCAATAATAAAAGAAAGCAATTTTATTTTCTTTTCTTTTTTTGTCTTTCTTTTTATTATTTATTTATTTAAGATTTCTACGATTATTTTCTTTAATTTATTACATAAATATTTTAACACTTCAAATGAATTTAAAAAAAATATTTAAAGGCTCATATAATATTATTTATACATTTAAAAAAAATGGATTTTACAAGAATCAACTATAGAAGTTGAGACCAAAATCTGTCATAACTTTAGACGTTAATTTCAATCATGACATACCACAATTTTGCTTAACAAATTAATTTTCTCATCAATAGATAAATAATGAACAGATGCTAGGAACTAGAGCAATAAGTAATCAAAGAACTACAACTTTGGTGGATCACGCTTTTATCCTACATACTTTGATAAATTCTCCTAGTTACATAGCCAGATATCCCATTCTCCGAGATATGAAAGTTGTGCAGCTTTAACAGTTCCCTTGAAAAATCGTACCCAAATGTCCATACTGAGATCCATATGATGAGCTCCCATGAAGTGGTGCCATCATCAGGTTGTTGTTTGGAAGGTTAAATGCCATGTTTCACTTCAAGTTACCAGGGTCAAAGTTTCACTTCTAGATTTCTACTAATAGCTAATTATCTCTCCTCATATTATAATTATATCATATATCTCAATCTGTTAATGTTGTAGTTTGAACTTCTCTTATTTTCTCCATCATATATCGAGATTCAGGAGATATTATTTCTTGTATGAATTTATTTATAATTATGTTGTCGATCAACAGAAATCAATATTTGCTTGCATTTTATATTACATTATAAACTATTGAAGTGAAGTCCCCATTCTTTAGTCTCTTCTATGAACAAACATAAAGCTAATATCTTTCGTGATTAACCACATATTCTCACAACTACCCAATTCCACCTCAATTCTAAGCTTGATACCCAACATAAAGCTAGAAGCTTTTCTTAAATTTTAAAAAATGTTACATCTAACACTTCTATGTAATCTTTTCAGAACAACCTAATTTCTCCTTCAAAGTCAATGGATTCTAATGATCGAGCTTGGATAGTAAATAGAAATCGCATAAGTCAAGAGTACACACTTAGGTTGAACAATTTTCTAGCTACTACTAGACATCACTTGGTTTAGATGGAAGGGCGTTATGTCCTTGTAATAGATGTGAAAACACATGGCTACAACGACTCCCCATGATTCGAGCTCATATCCTACGGTATGGTATGCTTGCAACATACCAAAGGTGGATCCATCATGGTGAATCTCTTAGTGACGAAGAAGAACAAGACCACTTTGAAGATTCGTCGAATAACGACGAAGATGACCATACTTTGAGGGACGTTATTATGGATGAAAAAGGATGCATGTTTTTTAATGTTGACCATTCAACTGAAAATGACGTCGAGGATAAGTCTGATGTTAACCGTGGTCGTTTTGACAAGTTGATTGAGCAACTTAACAAGGAACTGTATCCAGGATCAGGGAATCTGACATTACTACAATATGTAGTGAAGTTGATGCACATCAAAGTCTTGAACAAGTGGTCTGATAAATCAGTAAACATGTTGTTACAGTTTGAACAAAGAATTCTCCCATCCGACCACAATCTTCCTACATCATACTATAAGATGAAGAGAATCTTGATAGATATTGGGTTGGGATATCATAATATTCATGTTTGTAATCATGATTGTGCTCTGTTTTATGGAGAACATGCTAACCTAC